TACAGATTCTACTATTAATAAATATATAATGCTGTCAAAGTGCGAGGCTATTTGAATGAAAACAAGCGCAGCCCGGTTTACCTCAGCTCCGATGACGCAAGAAATAGAATGTCTGGAACACATGCAGTACATGACGTAGTGCTTATCTAGCTCTGAATTTTCTACACGCGCATCATTATTTTTTCATTTGTAGAGCTGTAAAACATGTCTATGGAGCGAAAACATAGTTCTCACAGCTATCAGGTGTATGGTTTCCGTACACCCCCAATACCCGGCACGAACGAGGCTGCGTTTCATCCCGTTTGTGTCGGTGAGGGATATGAGAAGAGTAGGAGAGAGACGAGCGTTTGGATAGGAGGCCAAGCAGGAAACGAAAGATGGAGGAGATTTCTGCTGAAGAGCCTCCAAGAAAGAGAATGAAAGAGTTTTTTAAGGGATGTGAGAGAAAGAGGAAAATAGAGGACGGTCTTGATGAGGGACCAGAGAGAAAAAGAAGAAAATATGAGTATTTAGATAGGAGGCCTAACAGGAAAAGAAAGATGGAGGAGATTTCTGCTGAAGAGCCTCCAAGAAAGAGAATGAAAGAGTTTTTTAAGGGGTGTGAGAGAAAGAGGAAAATAGAGGACGGTCTTGATGAGGGACCAGAGAGAAAAAGAAGAAAATATGAGTATTTAGATAGGAGACCTAACAGGAAAAGAAAGATGGAGGAGATTTCTGCTGAAGAGCCTCCAAGAAAGAGAATGAAAGAGTTTTTTAAGGGTTCTGAGAGAAAAATTAATGGGGAAGACAGTTTGTCTTTTTCTAGTTTGCCTATTAGGAGGCTAAGCAGAAAAAGAAAGTGGGAAGAGAGTTCTGCTGAAGAGCCTCCGACAAAGATAAGCAGGACAGAGTATTTTATTAAGGGGTTTAAGAGAAAAGGGAAAATGGAGGATATATTTGAAGAGGGACCCGAGAGAAAAAGGAGAAAATATGAATATTTAGAGTGTTTAAATAGGAGGCAACCCAGAAAAAGAAAGAGGGGTGAGATTTTTGGTGAAGAGCCTCTCAGAAAAAGGAAAGAGGATCACTATTTTGATGGGGGGTTAAAAAGTAAAAGAAAAAGGGAAGAGATTTATTTTGAAGAGTCTTCTAGAAAGATAGAGGATGTTGATATGGGGTCAGAGACAAAGAGGAAAAGGGAGGAGGGTTTTGATGAGGGACCAGAAAGAAAAAGGAGAATGTATTTTGATTGGAGGCCGAACAGAACAAGAAAGAGAGAGGAGAGTTTTGTTGAAGAGCCTTTAAGAAAAAGGAGAAAATCAGAGTATTTTGATAGGAGGCCGAACAGAAAAAGGAAGCCGGAAGACAGTTCTGTTATAGTGTCTCTGAGGAAAAGGAGAAAGGATGAGTATTTTGATAGTGGGCCGAACAGTAAAAGAAAGAAGGAAGAAAGTTCTGTTGAGCATCCGGAAATGTGGAGAATGTTGGAGAGCTTTAAAAAGCTGACCACTTTTTACTCCAGTCCAACAATTGAATTAATGGATGTCCAGAGTTCTTCCAGCCATTCTGTTTCGGTTCAAGCACACCACAGTCCAACCAGTGATATTCTGAGGCGGTATGAAGTCAGAAGAATTCTCTGTAGGAGAGGATCTGACACCATCTACGAGGGCAGGCGTATGACCGATAACCTCAAGGTGGCAGTGAAAGTTGTAAGAAAGTTTTGGGAGGTGACATGCATAGTGGTAAGTAAACCAAAGCTTCTTTTCCCCCCACACAGTATGGCTTTTCACACTTGTCATTGATAACCTGCGTCATAATCTAAACCATTTAAAGGGAATCCTAGAATTTCACATACATTATAATACACATAACAAATAGCTTCATTGTGGTTTTGATGCATTTATTATATACTGTATGTACAGTGCTCAGCTTATATAAATACACCCTTCACAATCCTCTTTTAAATTCATATTTTTATAGGAAGCTAGACAATATTATATTTGTGCATGTACATTAGATTAGCCAGTACTGAAGTCAAATCTGGAGCTTATCTAACAAAATAACTTATGATAACAATCCAAAATTAGTACACCCAAATTTATGTGTCATAGAAAAGTATTAAATACAAATTAAAAAAAAAAAGAGGAAAAATCAAGAGAAGCAAAGAATATTTAAAAATTGTATCAAAATTGGGTTGTAATTTTTGCAATATTTTACTAAATTTTATTGTATTATCTTTCAATTTCTAAATATGTTTGGTGACAAAATTGTTATTTTGATAAATATATGTGTTTAATGAATCTGTTTTGTTTAAATGCACCAAAATACATTGCCTATATTCACTGAGAAATGCATAAAATATTCATTTTCAAAATGGGGTGTACTCAATTATGCTGAGCACTGTAACTGAGAAAAAGACTTTAGAAATGTAACTTTGACTATACTGACAGAATTCCTAGATAGAAGTAAACTTGATGTATTAACTGACACAATCATTTTTAGGAAACGCTAACAGTTCACTTATATTTGAATACATTTTTCGTCAATGTGTCGACTTGCATGAGAAAGTTCAATTTAATGTTGATTTATTTTTTTCAAAATTATTCAAATTAAAAGGATAGTTCATCCATCATGCATTCACCATCAGGTGGTTCCAAATGTTTTTGAGTTTCTTTTGTTGAAAGAATACTGAATACTTGTAACCATTGACTTCCATAGTACGAGCAATAAATGCTAAATTGTACTTTTACCTTTAGTTAAAAAGGAGTACAGAATGATGATTAAGCAGTGTGAAAGCCATCTTTTTAAACTGAAAATGTAAATAATTTGGATTAAAATGGACTAACTTTTTTTTTTTCTTTTCCAGCCTGGTCATCCTGTAGCCCTTCCATTAGAAGTCGGTCTATTAGCCCTTGTTAATAAGAGCCTCAGAGGTCCAAAGACCATTCAGCTGCTGGACTGGCAGGATCTGCCTGATTATTACACTATTATCTTGGAGTGTCCATCACCACGGGTTTGCCGTGAAGCCAACTTGAGTCAACAGAGCAACGGTGAGAAGCTTTTTGTTTTTAATTTCTGTTCAAGAGGTGATTTTTATTTACATATATTAAAATGTACAGTTGATGGCAGAATTATTAACCCCCATTTGATTTTTTTTCTTTTTTAAATATTTCCCAAATGATGTTTAACAGAGCAAGGAAATTTTCACAGTATGTCTGATAATATTTTTTCTTCTGGAGAAAGTTTTATTTGTTTTATTTCGACTAGGATAAAAGCAGTTTTTAATTTTTGTGATTCGCACCCCACCCATGGGGGAAAATGAACAGAACCCAAAATCTACAAAAAATGTCGACACCTTCATGCATTATATAAAGATGATAAGTTTGATTTAGTCCTTTATCAGATTGTTAATCCATGATGTTTTTTTTTTTTTTTTGTTCAACACAGGAACAATATCAACAATTGCAGGAAAGTCCAACAGCTCTGGGCTGTATGATACCGATCAAAGTGCAACATCAGTATCCAGTTCCAGCACAGATGATGAGCCAGCGAGAAACATGAGGATGACAGCCAATATAGATTTTGTACTTCTCTGGACCCATAACAGAGAAGACAAACTGCTACAACCGATTAGCGTTGAGATGGTGTCCGCTCAGTCGGTAAAGCAGCCTGCTGTGCCAGTACATCCAAGACCCGCTGGACCTGCTGGAAATGGACAAAACATTTTGAATGGGTTTGAATTAATAAGAATGGTTGTCCATGGAACATTTGGCACCGTCTATGAAGGGAAACGCAGACGAGATGGCCTTAAGGTATGAATCTTACTATTCATTTCAGGTCCAAGAAATGTCTTTCATCTTGTTTACAATCATATGAAATGTTTTGTTTTGTTGTTCAGGTGGCAGTAAAATTCACCAGAAAACGCAGGAGCATGCAGTACATCAACATTGTAAGGATCTTTTTCAGATATTTACATGTAAATAAAAGAGTTTGTCCAGTATATCCATCCATATTGGGGAAATGAAAATCTAATAATCCTTAAAATGATTTTTCTTCTAGCCTGGACATTTTGCACCCGTTCCATTAGAGGTGGCCAGGTTACTCATGCCTAAAAACGACCCAACAGTTCCACAGAAGTTTAAGCTGCTGGACTGGCAGGACAAGCCCGATTACTACATTATGGTCCTGAAGCGTGCCTCATCGTGGAAAGGTTTGCCACATTATGCCACATGTTATGATAATGTGCAACTGGTTTGTCTTGTGTCTTGAACTAAGAATCATAAGAAACATATTAAAACAAAAATCTAGTTGAATTTTAGGGCAATGATCAAGTTTTTAATCCAGGTCTTTAGTTCAATCTTTGACTCTCAAAAGCATCTGCTAAATGACTAAATCTAAAGAATCAGAAATAATTGAAGTTCTGACAGAGTGCGGGTGAATAATTCCCATTAAAGTATACCATCAGCACCAGGGAGTCAGTTGAAAGGCCAGAAATATACTTTAAAAATAAACAATTGACCTAAATATTGAGGAGAGGACTTGGGGAATGTGTCTCTTTTGTAATCATGTGTTATTTATTAGCATTAGAAAAATGTCCACAGATTTTAAGGTAAATTTGGACCTTTCTGTGTTTCTTTAATGTTTTGTTGTTTAGCTATAATATTGTGTATCATGGGTTTTGAATATGTAATGATGCAAATAATGAGATCAAAATGTATTTTTAATGTTTTGGACTGTCAGAATTTTATGCATTAACGTAGACATGAATAAGTAAATAATGATAATTGAGATGGTATTTTCCTGTGCAATGAAATTAATACTTTTACATGCTTTTAAAGGTGAAGGAAAATATTTCTTGTGTGGTTAATTACAGTATATTGAAATGAAATGGAGATGGCCGTCTAACTAATGATGTAATGTGATTGACTGTGGGATAAATGGGTGGAGTGAGATTTGATTATTTCCTTTATAAGATTTTTAATCCAGGGCATTGTTTTGTTTTTGTTTTTTTGTTTTTTTTTCAATACAGATACAAAATCAACAACTGCACCGCAAGAAAAGAACCTGCTACAACCGATTACTGTTGAGATGGTGTCTGCCTTGTCATCGATGAAACAGTGTACTCTGCCAATATATCAGGGCCCTGCTAGAAATGGACAGAAAAGGTTGAGGGGGTTTGTATTAAAGAGAATGATTGGCCAGGGAGGATTTGGAAGAGTCTATAAAGGGACCCGCATACACGATGGCAGAAAGGTATCATTGCTTTTTCACACAGCAAAATGTTTTATCTCACTATCCATTTTGATTCCTCTTAGTGCTTTTGATCTTGTTTACAATAAAATAATTTGTTTTGTTGTTCAGGTGGCAGTAAAGTTCATCAAGAAGTGGGCGACCATGCAGTACATCAATATTGTAAGCATATTTTTCAAACATTTACATGTAACTAAATTAAAAGATTGTCCAGTGTATCCACATATGGGAAAGGATCTTCATCTAACAATCCTTAATGACCTTTCTTCTAGCCGAGACATTTTGCACCTGTTCCATTAGAGGTTGCCCTGATGCTCATGGTTAATAAGAGCCCCAGGGTTCCAGAGATCATTCGGCTCCTGGACTGGGAGGACTATCCTGGCCACTACATCTTGGTTTTGGAACTTTCCACACCCTGTGAAGATCTGAGCGTCTATGTTAAACGATCTGGAGGATTCCTCAATGAAACCAAAGCACGGGTTATCATGGGGCAGACGATACGGGCCGCTCAAGTGTGCTGTGCTCGCGGAGTCTTTCACCGTGACATAAAGCTGGAGAACCTGCTGATCAACCCACAAACACTCCGGGTCAAACTGATTGACTTTGGGTGCGGGGACCTCCTGAAGGATTCTGCGTATCATCACTACAGTGGTATGTGTATTATGACGCAAATTTCAAACAGTTTTGAACTTCAATTCTAATGACAAGTGACAGTAAGGGTTAGATCAACCAAAACTGAAAGTTCTGTTAATTACTAGGGCTGTGTGTTTAATCAAAATCGATTCGGAATTTAAAACATTTCGATTAGCTAATCAAGTGATATTGGAGTAATATTGCTGGAATTAATAACAGAAATAATTTTTTGGGGAAACTAATGCTTTAAAGCATGTTGTAATAACCACAAAACATGCTAATGTATACAGTGAAAACCTGTGGTAGTATTTCAGCATAATCTCTCTTCTCTTCAACATAATCTCTCTTCTCTTCAGGGACGAGACAGTATTCCCCTCCTGAGTTTAACATGATGAGACGGTACCATGGGAAACCTGCCACTGTGTGGTCATTGGGAATCCTGTTATATGTACTGCTGTGTGGACGCCTTCCACGATCCAGGATTTTGCTGCGGATGAATTCAAGCTGTTGGTCCAGTTCTCGCTTGTCACATGGTGAGTTGCCATTCATCACAACAAAAATCAATTATATTTCTGAATCACTCACAAGTTTAAAGCTTACAGCTTCATACAAGGACAACTGTAAGACGTCAAGTTTAAAATTCCTCTTTCTCTCTTTTCTGCAGACTGTTGTGATCTGATTTGCTGCCTCCTGCAACAAGATCCATCTAAGCGGATCAGTTTAGAAGACATCCCGCATCATCCATGGTTTAAGGTATTTTGAAAAAATATTCACATTTCATCTTTTTTATGTGTTTGTTTTATAAGTACATAATTCACTCTAACATCAGAATAAATCCAAGTGTAATGTAGACATTAGACCTAATTTCTGTATTTTCTTTTCAGGTCACCAAATGTAGCAGCTTGCCAAAGAGGTAAAATATCACCACAGTTTTATAGTTCCCTCTACACCTAATTATCTGGTGGGATCGACAAGTTTTGGTTTGTCGTTATTTTAATTATTCATTTTATTTAAGATACAGATCAAAGCAAACTATTTCTCACTGTTTAAGGGGCTGACCATTCATTACATCTCGTGTTGACTTTCTTCAGGGTGTATCAAGCATTAAAATAAGGGAATTAGTCCACACCTGCCAAGATTAGTCTCTGAAGGGTGTAATGGTGTCTGGATGAGGGAATTACAGGAGTTTTCCTGGAGAAATTACGTGGCGGGTCTGAAAAAACGTGAGACTCCCTGGAAAAGGAGTGTTGGCAGGTATGGGTCAGTCCCCTGTGTGATTTGCACCCGACCCATGGGGTAAACGAACAGAACCCAAAATCATGCAAACCAACTAATTATGATTATCTATATTTTATATGATTAGTTATGAGTTAATGCAAATGTCAGAAACAAGAGGCTGATTAACATGTAAATTTGAATACTTTGAACCAGGGCTGCCAACTCACACACATTCAGCATCAGACTCATGCAATTGGTAGTATTTTTATGGCAAAAAATGTCCACTTCCTCATGCATCCCCTCACCCTGCCCGCTCTTCAGATATTACAGGGTGTAGACGTATCCCGTCTGAACGGTTGTTGTTCAGGGATACAGCTGCAGCTGGAAATAAACTAGAATTATTTAAATCACTTCTTAAATTACCCATTAATTGTATTTTATTAACACCTACCCTCACAGTAATGTAATTATTTTTGTACAGTAATCATATTGTTCAACTAATATAAATAATTATCGTTAATGTATATTCACAGCTGTATCCTTTCTAGTCTTCACCTGTCTGAACTAACACTATGCTTGATTGTTGTAAATGTTCACCCTGTTTGCTCTGTACCCAGAAATGCTGCACAGCAGGGGAAGATCAGGCCACTACATGAGAACGAGAGGGAAACACCGAAGGGAATCAAAGTAGGATAAGTATCGCTGGATAAGTATCATCTTTTTATCTTCAGCGCTGAAAGCTACTGTTCTTCGATGCAACTCATGGGGCCGACAGGTATGGAGTGAATTTTGTGCCAATATTTTACAAACAAATCCAGCATTTTGCGAAGACTCACTCGACTCGCTAACAAAGCAAAACCCAGTGGTGCTTCACGAATACAATCACATTTCACAGAAAAATACAGCTGTATACCTGTCCATTACGAGTTTGAGGCGGTTGCTCTCCTCTGAGACTCTCTACCCGATTTCCTCAGATGCAATCGGGTGGATTCTCCAACTAGTGCATTCAGGCGGATTTTCTTGCAAATGCGGTTGCGCCATTTCTTTCAACGAGACAGTAGATGGCGCTATGGGTCAGTCTACGTTACTCTCCTAGAGGAAGCCTGAAACCCATGCCTAAACTACAGCTGACTAAAATAAAATGATCGGTGAACAGATGAGTTTCTGTCTTACTGTATCTACTTAACATAATATATCGATCATTTTGACGTTAATGTAAACGGTTAGTATAAAATCAGCAGTTACGAGGCTGTAACATTATCATTATTTCTATATATTTTACATTATTGCGAAAAATTAACCTCGCTATTCTATTAAATGAAATATTATAATGTAGATAGATATGACATATGTTCTTTTGCTTTAAACATAATCACTAATGTAGGACAGTATAACTAATTACTTAATGTGTTTGTGGTTAGATGTAAATGTTTGATTTCCCGATTAAACTCGTCGTGGAGGGCTGATAAAATGTGTTAAAATGTTGCAATAACCTGTTTGGCGTAACATAATCTTAATATAATATTCCCAAGATGATTAATATATGATTAAAATAATTATTTAAATAATACAAAAAATCAACCTAACCTTTAGCTACTAATTATGCATAAAAATATGAAGTAAAAAATAAGAATTAGCTTATTAAATGTTTTATTATAATGAAAAATGTATTAGCTGGCGCTTTTAAGTGTAATAATGTTTCAATAAACTGGTGAAAAGGCAGAAACTCACCTGTTTGCTGTAGTGTTTTACGTAATATAATATTCATTTCATATTCCCTAGTTTCAACATATCTATTAATTATTATCTTAGAATTATTAATTAAAAAAAAAATGCTAAACTAATAATTGTGTATATAAATATAGACTGAAAATTAAATGTTTTATTACTTTAAAATTAATTAGCTGAATCCTAAATAAAAGTTTATTATTATTATTATTATTATTATTATTATTATTGATGTGTTTATTTATTATTATTATTATTATTATTATTATTATTATTATTATTATTATTATTATTATTATTGATGTGTTTATTATTATTATTATTATTATTATTATTATTACTATTATAGTGTTTATCATATTATTATTATTATTATTATTATTGTCTTTATTTATTATTATTATTATTATTATTATTATTATTATCATTGTGTTTATTATATTATTATTATTATTATTATTATTATTATTATTGTGTTTATTTATTATTATTATTATTATTGTGTTTATTATTATATTATTATAGTTTATTAGTATTAGTATTAGTATTATTATTATTAGATGTTTTATTTAATTAAAAATGCTGAAGTTTAAGCCCAGGTTTCAGGCTTCCTCTTGGAGACTGACGTAAACTGACCCATAGCGTCATCCGCTGTCCTGAAGGAGGAAAGTGGCGCATCCGCACTCGCGAGAAATCTGTCTGAATGCGCCAGTGAGGAATCCACCTGGATGTGTCTGGAGGGAATCGGGTAAAGAGAATCTCAGAAGAGGGCCACTGTCTCGCATCCGCAACAGACAGGTCGCAGCTGTATGCACTAGATCTGGTGTTTGTTCGAGGGCCGAAATGCAGTAGGGTGGACGGTGTCTGTGAAATGTGATAATGGATATGTGAAGCATGTTTACTATTCTACCTTTACAATACATTACTGGGTTTTCGCAAGCAAGTTGAGTGATTCTTTGCAAAATACTGGATTTTTTGGCACTAAATTAACTCCATAGTCTTCACTCCATTGACGCGCCTCTTAAAGGGTCATGAAAGCTCCCTACTTTATTATATTACTGATGAGGCGAGACAACGACACAGCTAAAAGCATCACAGCTCCAAGTTCTACATGTACAACACTGAATTTGTTCAATACAAAGCAAATTAAATCAAAATAACTGTTTCTGTCATTTATTGAAAGTGTACATGATAAAGTAATGTCTAATTAAAATATTAAATAGATATAAGAATATAAGGAATTCATGCAATAAATATATATATTAATTATAAATGATTATTATAATATACAGTATATAAAGGTTTTCATATATTATTGTTTTATTCTCATTATATACTGTATGTAATAATAATTCAGTTTGATTTAATTCAAGTTTATGTCAAATAATTGAATTCAAGTTTAGCTGATAATGACAAAAGGTGCACATTATTGCTTTACAATCAAATTTAGAAAAGTTATTAGTTACCAAAACTTTATTAGTTACTAATAACTTTAACCAATTTAGTAGCAAGTAGTAGCTTTAACAGTTAAAGTTAACTATATATAAACACATTTAACCTGCAGTATAAAAATAAATAAATAAATTTTTATAAATATTTATTACTATATGTATTATATAATAAATATATTAAACAAATACACAAACGATATAAGGATCTTTATTAAATGTTATTGGACAGGAGGCAAGGTTAAAAAAAAGAAAAAAAAAGGAAAATATATTTAAATGTCATAACTTAATATTATAATAAATAATTATTACCAAATACATTAATATGATCATTTAATAATATAATAAACAATATGTAACATAATATGTAATTATAAGTGTAATAAACAATTTATTGTCTATTACAATTGCCTACAACATAAAGAAATGTTTAATAAAGGCAATTGGGTGGGAGAGGTGGGCTTTATAATGTCTAGTGTACTTTTATTCAGACATTCTGAGTGTCTCACAGGTGAGTAGGTGGAACAAACCACCTGTAGAAAACACACTCTTTCATCTCTGACTCTTTATCCGACACTTGCACCAGTGTTTGCACTTTTGCACCAGACACTTTCTTACAGTCACTCCATATCTTTAAAAAACATTGTGCATCTATGAAGTGTGCGTCACAATAATAAGTGAACTTGACTTAAAATAATTGTTAAAATCTCAACCACAATTCTTTAGAGTTTCATGGCCCTTTAAAGGTTTCTTGCTTTGCTTTTAAACAGGTTAATCAGACAATGTGCTTTTGCAAAAGTGTAGTGTGTCAATGTATTGTTACACCATTTTGTGTCATTTGTGATGTATATTTAACTATTTTATGTGTCTTTATGACACAAAATACATCAAATATTCTGGTGTTACTATATTTTTTATACATATATGTTTGTGTTGTTTAAAAGTAAATGTAAAAAGTAAGCTTATCAAATGATGTTCCACACTGGTACTAGTTAAAATGACACTATATTTGTTCAGTACTAGAGCTGTCAAACCATTAATCACTATTAATAGAATCCAAGATAACAGTTTGTATTTGATAATATATTAGCGTATACTGTACACACACACACACACACACACACACACACACACACACACACACACACACACACACACACACACACACACACACACACACACACACACACACACACACAGTTGAAGTCAGAATTATTCACCTTCCTGTACTTTTTTTTCTTTAAATATGTCGCAAATGATGTTTAGTTAGGAAATGTATTTAAAAATATAAAATAAATATATATGTTTTTTCGATTGTCTACAGAACAAACCATCTTTATACAATGACTTCCCTAATTAACCTAATTAGGCCTTTAAATGTCACTTTAAGCTGGATAGTATCTTGAACAAAATCTAGTCAAATATTATTTACTGTTATCATGACAAAATAAAAGAAATCAGTTATTAGGAATGAGTTATCAAAATTAATATGTTTATAAATGTGATAAAAAACAGAAATCTCCGCTCTCCGTTAAACAGAAATTAATAACAAATACACAGAAGCGCAATAATTCAGGAGGGCTAATAACTGACTTCAACTAGATACACAGAAATACACAGTACACACACACAAATATTTCACAAATATGAACTTTAGTTTTGGATAAACTAATGGTTTGACAGCACTATTCAGTTCATACATTTCTGTGTAAAACCATAAAC